ATACTCATTTTTAATATCTTCATGTAGACCAACGAAAACTTTTGATGAGTAAGTCTTTTTTCAACATTTACGCTCATATAATCGCGCACATTTATGGATACCATTTCATAAGATATGAAATTTATCTTAAAATAATTAGAGACACATTGAACAAAAGGCAAGCTTCCACACATTGAACATGAAAGCATAGTTGTGTTTCTGAATTTGCTCACAGTTGAATTTAGGTGGAGTTTTGTTCTCTGAGCTGAATGGTTTGGTTGTGGAGCTTCATTGTTCTTCTGAACAAAATCATCAGCACAAACATCAGGTAAAAGTGAAGTGTTCGGATTTCTCACATTTGGCCCTGTAGACCTCTATTTTTATTGGTTATTGTTGACCTTTAACCTATGATTCTCTATTTCATTTTGAGTGAGTCTCTCATTGATTTGATTCTTGGTATTATATTTCTCCATGATCCTTCTGCTTGGTTGGTACATCGGATCGACTTCAACGTGTTTGTTGGTTGCTGACTGACCTGAGCCATGCGTCTAACAATTCTCAAGTGATTTTAGTATTCCTTCTATTCAATATCTCATCAGTTTTCTAATCGAATATGTGTCCAAAATTGTCAAGAAGATATATCATGGTGTTTGACCGTTAATTGATGTTTGTACAGCTGCAGACGAACGAGGAGCCCACTTTGTCAGTTCGAATACGTTCAGGAAGTAAACAAAACATAACACCAGCTAATCAGTGAATATCAACAATAAGACAGAATAGTTGAAAGATATTGAATACATTTTTTATGTAAAGTACCACATATTAGTGTTTGTAGAGTTAGATAGCATCATCAGTTACTTCAATCAAACAACACAGTGAATCATCAAAGGTAACCTGATCCAGAGACATTTGTCATTTAAAACTATAAATTCAAGTGAATTACATATAAGTGAATAAGACATATGAACCGATTACTAGCATACTTGAACGTTTCATTCACCATGACAGTAGTAGGTATGTTGGTTAGTAGTGGTAGACAGACTGAATAGAAGCATTAAAAATACCTTTTGATTATATGAAGAGACATTTCTGAGAGATTAGTAGTGAAATGTACAAGAACAGTATCTCAATGAGAATTTCTTTGCTTGCTAAATGTATTTTTTGTCACATGAGTGAAACTCAAACAATATTTTTGTTATCTGAAAGGATAATATGCTATATACCTCAATAATATCTTCCCTTGGTTAACGCATGTTTCACATGAAAGTGATTCCCAAATAACAATTCAAATTTCATTTGACTGTGCCCGCTTCATAATTTCAACGCTTATTCATCATAGCTGAACAGATAAAAACAGTTTGTAAGTTCCTTACACGGTTGATTATTTTGGTTCACTTTTATTCAAGTTCAAATATTTCCATCATCTTGTCATTCAAACACAAAAACTTGTAAGCATGATGGTTTTAAATATAACTAACTAATCATTACTCACAGGTATAAGATCAATGACCCACGGTTGTCTATGCATTAATCAGTTTACTTTATGTTATAATCTGTCACAACACATCCGAGAACAGTTTAATTAGTATCTTGTTCATTAGTGATTAGCGTTCGAAAGTCATTAACGTTCGAGCAAATTATATCATTTCAACGAACAAATATTTTGCGAGATAAATTCGTAATTTATCACATCACATAAACGGTTTATTGCCCCGTAACTTAACACCTAGATGTAGTCGAGTGTAGCCGAATGCAGTAGATTTATTCTTCAGTTTGTTTTCTTTAATGAAGAATAATCCGTTTTAGCAATTATCGCAAGGAGAAGCTTTAGATAAGGAGGATATTATGTTTTTCTGTAGTCCATCAAAGTTGTTTTCGTGGATGTGTTCAAATATCATTCAGCAACCGCAACCTAATATTTTAACACTGTTGACTTCTGTTATCTTCCTCCATTGATTATTTATCAAAAGCAGTTTAAATTCAGTTAAAAATTCTCTCAATTTGACATGTTTAACATAATGTTCACATCTACTTCTGAAATAATCATAATTGGATATTGAATGCAGTGGTTCGATTAGATCGTTGTTTGGAACTAGTTAATTTTAGACACACAACTACGAAATATTAAGAAACATCAAAAGTTAAATTCTGTAGAATTATCTTTTTTATCTCAACTGTAGGTTTCATCTTCTTCTGAATTCAAAACACTTTTATACACTCGAGGCTTTGTAATCATTGAAATTCAGAGTTCTATCATTTTATTCTCACTGTTTAGTGAATATTCTACTAATGATATTATAAATTTATCACGCAATGTTTTTCCGTAGGCAAGAAGTTTAAAAGTAGGTTCCTCAAGTTTGATTGATTTCTTGTCAATTACCGTTCACATAAAATGTATGATTATTTCAATAATCGGTTGAAAGCCACTTCAATTCCCACAGCATAAAGTTATGCTTTGTATTGATCTCAATATCATTTTGTTTCACATAGGCACATATATATATATGAATTCCGATGAATCCTTCAATTAGTTGCCTGATAATTCCTAATGTATGTATATAAACAGAATCATATATTGAAGTTAAGTTTGATATTAACTGATAGTATGACTTGTGGCTTTTACATTGAATTCTTGAAGAAACAAAACATAACACAGAATTGAACAGAACTCTTACAATCCATTTATCACATATACATTTCTTCAAAGACAATGAAGAAATGATAACCTATTCAAAATTAATATATCGTTCAAAAACGGATAAATATCCGAATTTGTTAAGAAATATGGTAGCATGCATATAATACATTGCTTATTATCTATGTGAATGTGAACGTTTGAAACAATAAATACCAACTGATTGTTTACGATAAACATTTCATGGCTTACTAATGTCTAATTAAATTCACTTTTTTTTCTTATTCTTCATTGAAGTAATATAACGTTCAAAAAGATAAATTGATCTAAACGAACTACAATTATTGATAAATGCAAAACTGAACGATGGCTAAATTATCCCTGTAATTTCTTAAAATTCATTGGACAAAAAAATATTGCTTGTGAATGCTTTAATTTTACAATAATAAAACTATATTTCAGAAAGCAGTTCATTCTCTTTTGATTCCTAATAATAAAAAAAACAAAACACTAGAGAAATAATTATTGATAGTTATACTGAAATCTAATTCAGACAGGAAGTTTAGGTAATCAAAACGATTTCTATTAAGGTATGTAAAAAAAGGTTTAGCACATTTGTTAATAGATTTATTTGGGATGCCATTGTGTAGGCAGATAGCCGTAATATTTGCGATTGTGATGAAGTGTTTGATTCAACTTCATCTCAAGAAAATTTTTGAACTCCAAATTTACAAGGTACTATTGTGGTTTGGTCTACTTATATCCATATAAGTAGTATATGGTGTTGATCAGACATAGAATGTATTTTGGCAGAAGACCGATGAGGAAAGAACTGAAACGAAGCGCAATCGATAGAAAATTGCGTGAACAATGAAATTAGAGAAGAAACGGTGAAGATTGAGACAATTGGTTGTTAATTTGCAAATTGACTGTTCATTGTATGGTTTTCAGAATTTACTGACATAGTCTGTAATTTCTGCTTAAATACATTCGATTGTCCCCAGTCGTGTTCTCTTCACTGCACTATATTTTGCTTGTGTGAACTGAAACATAATGAGAAAAGAAGTTATTTGATTACAGCAAGTGCGCTTTACAAGGCACAAAATAATACTCTGTTTTAGACACTCAAAGTGTCAGTCAAACGGCAAACAATACAGAAGCGAACTGACACATAAATCCAATGATCCAATTGCTTATCAGGAAGTCCCTGTGGAAGAGAGACGGAAATTCTATACAGAAAATGTTGGTTGGTCAGATTAAAAGGGTTGTCATCTTACAGTTCTGCTTATTGTGGTAAGTGAATGATTAGGTAATGTTGATTGTGGTGACCGGAGCAACCAGGTATCTACTGAATTTAATTTTCTAGAGTACTGAAATCAAAAGAACATTCAAGAACGATCAAATATAAAATGATTAAACATTTAAAGTTCTTATCATCTCCCTTATGGAGTGGGATATACTTAAGGATTCAAGAACATTTAAGGTATCTTCAGAGGAGAAGTAAGTATTAGTGAAGCGAGCAAAGGATGAAAATGATTTTGTTTCACGAACTGATTGTGGTAAATTATTCCAGAGTCTTGAAAACTTACTGGTAAAATAATTCATATGGAGACTTTGAATGTGATTGTCTCACTAATGATAGGGAGTTATGGATGCTGTAACTAGGAGTTTCTGCAAACTGAATTACTCCGTTGGATGATAGTTTATTGAGTATTTTGAAGAAAACTAATAGATTAGGTTTGCGTTCCCTCTTCATAAAGGGTCGAGTCCAAGTTTATTACATCTGGACTTATAATTTAAGGTACAATCAGTCCCAAGAACGAGAAGTGTGAATCGTCTCTGGATGGATTCCAAACTCAATTCATCCCTTATGAGAACAGTACAAAGAATAAACGAGCAGTATTCCACGAGTTGTCAAACACATACTTTGTACATCGAAATACGTGACTCATAGTTATAGAATTTACGAATTATGCAACCCAGAAGACGCTGGAACTTGGGGGTCTGTTTCAATATTTGTTCTATGAAAGATAAATTGTAAGAGTACTTAAGTCTTAATTCCACCGATTAGTGTAATTTGGATAAAACCTTACTATTTATGGTAAGATCTAAGTTGAGTGAAGTATCATCAAAGTAAATTCATCCATATTTAGCCGAAGTTACCTCCAACATTCGTTTTGAGCATTACTGAGATACCTTGTTAAGCTTCATATCGATTCAAATTTGTACAATGTTCGGCTGATGGGGAGAAAATGAAAACATTATTTTAAGATCATCTGTATATAGAAGAGGCCAACTCATGCTTCCAGGTTTTTCATGGTGGTCTAGCTTAAATTGACTAATGATCTCAACTCCCTTCTGGTAACAAAATAGTTTTTGTTTCTTTGTAAAAACATTTTATTTTGACAAGAGAAAAAAACTATTATGACAAATAAGAATATTTATAGAATACAATAAAGAAATCAAGAAACAATAATTGATTGAATGTATATATGAATGCGTTTAATATAAACATTATGAAATAAGCATTAAAATGACGATTGCCTCGTTGTATATAAAAATAAAAGTGAAAAAAAAACTAATGTACTATCCTTATTTGAATATAGAAAAATAATTGTTTCGAAGAATAACTAAAAACTACTTTTTATCAAATAAGTAGTAAGAAAAAACTGAATATCACATGAAGAACTTTAAGTCAACATTAGAATGATCTTTCTGTTTGCATTTACAATGTTGGATGAATAATATTTCATTAGACGTTTATTGTACATGACGTGAATATCTAAAGTTATTTATAAGATAAGCCATTGGAATAGGAAAGAAACGGGCAACTAAATAACATACTATAGCTGTTTGAAAAAAAATGAAAGTTAGTAATTGAGGATGATAACAATAAGATTCAAGCATTTGCATGCCTGATGGTTTCATAAATGTTGTTTTAACGTTATATACTGCATTATGATCATAGCATTCAGCTCCAATGTCTGTTGCATAAGTTCCTTGAAGTGATAATTCAAGTTTTTGGAATGGGCATGAATAATTTAACTGTTTACCATCAACATCATTACGAGTTTCACATTTAGTTGGCCATAGGTTAACTATTTTATCAGTTTTTAGAGGTAGTTTTGTTTCATTAAGATAATAAAATCGAAGATAAAAATTATTGGATGACAATGAACGATGAAGTTCTACTATCAAACAACTTGCCAAAGGCGGTTTGATTCTACAGAATAAAAAACAGAAAGAAATAACCTCTTTATTTAATGTATGATTAATTAGTGGAAACAAAATGAAACACAAAAATAAATGAGACTACTGACACATACGTGTACTATACATGAACTTCAAAAGCTTTTACACAAACAGTCAGCAGTTTAATGAATTGATACCAACTATACACTACACCCAACTCCGCCTGTAGCTCTTCTAGAGTTACTGCCGGTCCCAAGCCCGGGTAAAGGAGGAGGGTTGGGCATGGGGTTAGCGACCCCATCTCGTAGAAAAGCTAACTCGCTAAAAAAACGCTAACCAGAAAAAATAATTCAAACCATTTAAACTCTGCCCTGGGAGTTGAAGGAATAATGACGTCTCATGATGAAAGCCGAAATTCTTCGGAAGTCACGAGACCGATGCACCTTCTAACAACCAGAGCAACACTCTTTATAGGTACATGGAACGTCCGGACAATGTGGGAGACAGGAAAGACCAGCCAAATAGCAATGGAAATGAGGAGATACAACTTGGCAGTACTCGGAATCAGCGAAACCCATTGGACACAAAGTGGACAACAAAGGCTAGGTACAGGAGAGATGCTGCTGTACTCCGGTCACGAAGGGGAAAATGCGCCACACACTCAGGGAGTTGCTCTAATGCTGTCCAGAGAAGCACGAAATGCACTTGTGGGATGGGAATCTCATGGACCCAGGATAATCAAAGCATCATTCAGAACAAAGAAGCAAGGGATCACAATGAATGTTATCCAATGTTATGCACCCACCAATGATAGCAACGACGATGATAAAGATCAGTTCTATGAAAGGCTGCAATCAATTATAGCAAAGTGCTCACGAAAGGACCTCACCATCCTTATGGGAGATCTAAATGCTAAAGTTGGAGTGGACAACACAGGATATGAAGATGTAATTGGACGACATGGACTAGGAGAGAGAAATGAAAATGGGGAGAGACTTGCAAACCTATGTGCATTCAACAAATTGGTTATAGGCGGCACAATATTCCCACACAAACGCATACACACAGCTACATGGATCTCACCGGACCACACCACAGAGAACCAGATTGATCACATCTGTATCAACAAAAAATTCCGAAGATCAATGGAAGATGTGAGAACCCGGAGAGGAGCTGACATAGCTTCAGATCACCACCTGGTTGTGGCCAAGATGAGACTGAAGCTTAAGAAAGACTGGACAACTGGACAAACAGCACTACAAAGGTTTAATACAGCCTTCCTTCGAGATACTGACAAACTCCATGAATTCAAGATAACTCTCAACAACAGGTTCCAAGCTCTACAGGATCTACTGAAAGAACAAGAAACTACTTTGGAGGACAACTGGAAAGGGATAAAAGAAGCACTAACTTCAACGTGTCAGGAGGTTCTTGGTCCTAAGAAGCACCATCACAAGGAATGGATCTCTATGGGGACCCTGGACAAACTTCAAGAAAGGAAGAACAAGAAACTAGCAATTAACAACAGCCGAACACGAGCAGAGAAAGTCAAAGCACAAGCAGATTACGCAGAAGCAAACAGAGAAGTGAAGAAAAGCATTAAAGCCGACAAGCAGAAATACATGGGAGAACTAGCAACGGCGGCGGAAAAAGCTGCAAGAGAAGGGAATATGAAACAACTATATGATACAACGAAGAAATTGGCAGGGAGATATAGCAAACCAGAGAGACCAGTCAAGGACAAAGAAGGAAAGACAATCACTGAGATTCAGGAACAGAGGAAAAGATGGGCAGAATACTTTGAGGAACTGCTGAATAGACCAGCCCCATCGAATCCACCGAACATCGAAGCAGCCCACACTGACCTTCCAATAGATGTCACTCCACCAACGATCGAAGAAGTCAAGATGGCCATCAGACAAATCAAAAGTGGGAAGGCGGCAGGACCTGACAATATACCAGCAGAAGCACTGAAGTCAGACATTGAAATAACTGCAAACATGCTTCACCTTCTATTCAAAAAGATTTGGGAAGAGGAACAAGTGCCAACGGACTGGAAAGAAGGATATCTCATCAAGATACCAAAGAAAGGAGATCTGAGCCAATGTGAGAACTACAGAGGCATCAGTTTGTTATCAGTACCAGGAAAAGTTTTCAACAGAGTGCTGCTGAATCGGATGAAAGACGCAGTAGACGCCGAACTTAGGGATCATCAGGCTGGATTCCGTAAGGATCGGTCGTGCACAGACCAGATTGCGACACTACGGATCATCGTTGAACAATCAGTTGAGTGGAACTCATCACTATACGTCAACTTCATCGACTATGAGAAGGCGTTTGACAGCGTGGATAGGAGAACATTGTGGAAACTTCTTCGACACTATGGAGTTCCTCAGAAGATCGTCAACATTATCCAAAACTCATACGATGGATTACAGTGCAAAGTGGTGCATGGAGGACAGCTGACAGATGCATTTCCAGTAAGGACCGGAGTCAGACAAGGCTGTCTACTCTCCCCATTTCTCTTCCTTCTAGTGATTGACTGGATTATGACGAATTCGACATCCGAAGGGAAATACGGAATACAATGGACTTCTCAGAATCAATTAGATGATTTGGACTTCGCAGATGACCTAGCCCTCCTCTCTCATACACACGAACAAATGCAGATGAAGACAGCAAATGTAGCAGCAGCCTCCGCATCGATAGGCCTCCACATTCACAAAGGAAAAAGCAAGATTCTCAAATGCAACACGGAGAACACCAACCCAATCACACTTGATGGCGAAACTCTGGAAGAGGTGGAAACATTCAAGTACCTGGGGAGCATCGTTGATAAACAAGGAGGAACGGATGCAGATGTAAAGGCGAGGATTGGCAAAGCAAGGGCAGCATTTCTACAATTGCAGAACATATGGAACTCAAAACAACTCTCAACTAATTTCAAGGTCAGAATCTTTAATACGAACGTCAAGACAGTCCTACTGTATGGAGCTGAAACGTGGAGAACTACTACGGCCATCATCAGGAAGGTACAAGTATTTATAAACAGTTGTCTACGCAAAATACTCAACATCCATTGGCCGGATACTATCAGCAACAGCGTTTTATGGGAGAGGACAAACCAGCTTCCAGCTGAAGAGGAAATAAGGAAAAGACGTTGGAAGTGGATCGGACATACATTAAGGAAATCACCAATGTGCACCACGACTCAATCCCTAACTTGGAATCCGGAAGGGAAGCAGAAAAGAGGAAGGCCAAAAAACACACTACGCCGGGAAATAGAAGCCGATATGAAAAGGATGAATGTTAACTGGAAAGAACTGGAAAGGAAGGCTCAGGACAGAGTTGGATGGAGAATGCTGGTGAGCGGCCTATGCTCCTCGACGAGGGGTAACAGGCGTAAGTAAGTAAGTAAGTATACACTACACCCGAGATGTTACGAATAATACATTAATATCAATTAATTATTATTAATGGCTTTATTCAATATTGTATTTGGGTGCAATATAGATGTTATCCACAGTTTGATCATTTCACAGCCACCAAGTTGGTCTCTGATATGGATCTCATTGGTATGACAATTAATGTAGGCATTGAAATTCTATAAAGAACTATCTGCACTAGTTGTAAAAGTCTGCAAACCACCAACTCTTTAAGGAAGGAGAAATTTCTTAGAAATATGAGACAGTTAAACTTTACTTCATAAGAAACGTGTCCGGAACAATATTCATGATTTCATTTCAAACGCAAAAAGAATTTAAAAAGGCATGCCGGCTCAGTGGTCTATCGGTTAAGGGCTCTGGCTTTGAGACTGGTAGGTCCTGGGTTCGAATCTCGCGAGTGCGGGATCGTGGACGAGCACTAATGAGGAGGAGTCCCATAATAGGACGAAACGGCCGTCAAACAGTGCTTCAAGGTTTTCCAAGGTGGTCTAGCTTCAACTGACTCATGATCTCAACTCTATAAAATCCCATTGAACGTCCAAACTGACCAGATTTAAGTACATTCTAAAAGTTCTTTCTGTTTTGTTCACCATTAAATAAGATATAAAAATTTCAGTGATGTATAATAAACAGTTAGTTGCCAGAGATATTATTTCCCTTCTTAATAATCCTTTATAAAACAAGACCAGTGATAGTTCCGATACTCTTCAAAATGTTGAACTTGGTCTCAGTTTTATTATATTACTCACGATCAATGAATACTGATGAGTAAATCTTCCACATTTCAGTTTAATTTTAGTTATACTTTGAGTTCCGATTAATTTAAACACGCAATTTCAATTGCTTTACTCATATTGGAATCATCGAGTAATCAATCCTCAGACTAAACGCTAGGTAAGAATGCCGAATCGGTTGGTAAGGTAGTGAATCTTCAACGACTAAGGTGATTGGGACGTGTCCAATCACCGCCTACCTAGACACTCGATGTTGTCTGGTGTGGAAATAGCTTGGAAGTTAGGGGGCAGATCAGGATGTAGTAAACATCCATAAAGTTAGGGACAGTTGGATTGAGTCACCCTGACAGGTATAGACTACCTACTGGTGGTTGGCGTGATTATCATAACTAATGGTTACAAATGAGTTTGTAGGTATCAATGGAAAGGTTGGACTTGATGGTTTTAAATATATTGAGCATTGTGTAGAAATTTAATAAATATATTTTTCGTCATATCCAAGAGAGTAAAAAAGCTGTATTTCAGACGTTCCGTGACTTTATTACTTACTTACTTACGCCTGTTACCCCTTGTGGAGGAGCATAGGCCGCTCACCAGCATTCTCCATCCAACTCTGTCCTCAGCCTTCCTTTCCAGTTCTTTCCAGTTGCTATTCATCCTTTTCATATCTGCTTCTATTTCCCGCCGTAGTGTGTTCTTTGGCCTTCCTCTTTTCTGCTTCCCCTCCGGATTCCAAGTTATTGATTGAGTCGTGATGCACATTGGTGATTTCCTCAATGTATGTCCGATCCACTTCCAACGTCTTTTCCTTATTTCCTCTTCAGCTGGAACCTGCTGGTTTGTCCTCTCCCATAAAACGCTGTTGTTGATAGTATCTGGCCAATGGATGTTGAGTATTTTGCGTAGACAACTGTTTATAAATACTTGTACCTTCCTGATGATGGCCGTAGTAGTTCTCCACGTTTCAGCTCCATACAGTGACTTTATGAAAGACCCCAAATGCCTTGGTACGGACGAGAGTGGGAAAAGTCAGCTCTCCCTCTCGAAATGCTCTCACATGGCCACGCCTATACAGCCTCTGTCAGGGAAGTCCTACTCACTGCCTTCTCGTGGCATTACTGTTGTTTACCAAATTGAGAGGACGAAAAGCGAATGTCCGGAGCTTTAACGGGGTTGGTGGACACGGAAAGTTCACCTAGGGGAGTTGGAAAACCCTGATTTCAAACCAATGGTGTACATGGGCTCCAGTATCCTGAGGGAACAAATGGCGTTAGAATCAATCGTTGGTCACCGGCTACCATGGGACTGCATCTCCTCACGATGCTCCACTGCCTTGTGGGTCAGACCTTTAGGTCAAAGGCTCCGGGTGCGGCCCCATAAGAAAACCACCTGCTTCGGTTTGGGCACCCGGGCAGTATCACAGCCCTCACACAAATCAAATGAGATTTGTGAGGCGCATTTTTATCTGGTACCCCTTTGTACCAATATTTATGTGTTCAAATAAATAAATAAATAAAATTATGAAAGACACTTCTTCCACTTCTACATAACAAAAAATATATTTATTGTAATTTGTTAGAAACTTTGGGTTGCATGGCTCAGGTGCATTTACTTTTTTTCGTCTTATAACTTCAGTCTTTTCATGCCCAATCTTTTCTGCTACCACTGATAATGTTACTAATCTTACTATTCTGGGATTTATCTTGATTTACTAATGTGGTATAGCGACTTATGCCACTACAGATACTTGTCAGGTTCTGCGTTGTGTATGACTAAGTGACTTACTGAATTTCAAAAAGAAACTACTAATTTGATATAGACTAAATAGAATGTGGCCAGCAGTGAAAGCAAGGAAGCAAGTTTCGTCCTATCTAATCTATATAAACTTGTGTTATAATTGATATACCAAGGCAATCCTCACAGAATGTACATATACCAATCAAGAGTGATTAAATTTCAGTCAAAAATATCAACAACGGGATAATCTCATCTATTCCATATTGAATGAAACTACTAATTTCTTAGGCTTTTTTCTATAATCATATGCCACAAAAATTTCAATGAAAAAGCATTAAATCACTAGTCGATCACGTCGATGGCTAAAAATAAATGACAAAACTTTGACAGAATATAAAACAAGTCAAGATAAATTGATTTGGAAGTGAATCATACCTTTGTATCAGTCTTTCATGTGTTTAATTGATTCGGATATGAAATCACAAATTTTTTTAAACAGGTTTGTCCGTAATTGATGTAATTTTATGCTAAGCTTTACTTTGTATCTCTTGACTGTTTACTTTTCCATATGGAGCATGCATTAGCTACCAGGAAGTCAATATTCTATCATGACTTTCCACTAGGCTCTATACAGATATGCAATGATATTACTACAGTAAAATCAACCCTACGAAATTTTTTCAACGGAATGAAATAATCGTCCGCATATACGCGATTTATTTATAGTGGAATGAAAACATAAGATATATATTAGCCCTCAACTAAACGATATTTTTTTACTTCATGGTTGAACAAAACAACCACTTGTTAGTGCAGATATCTGTTGCAGACATACAATCGCAAGAAAAATGATCGTTAATTGGTATCTAGTGGAACATTATAATCTTTTCGATCCATGCAAGGAAAACTAACCGAGTAATCAAAGGGAAGGAACAGTTCTCAGCAATGTCTTATTTAAGAACACTGAGGTTAACCACGAAACTATGAAACAGAACAAACTTTTACCTAATGTTTATTTATTTAAACACATATATATTGGTACAAAAGGGCACCAGGTACATATGCGCCACACAAAATAATGAAAGTAGGAAGAGAAGGGATGAAAAGATAAGGCGGACTGAAATGTACAACCAGAAGACTCTTTCAGTTAGGAAAGTTAGAAACATTCTTTATGTAGAAAGTAAAAGAAGGTTGCAGCAGGATCGCCACTGGCTTCTATTCTGAGCCATATATGATAACGTTTCTAGCCACTGTGTTGCACTATCTCTCGGATCCCAACCAGGGAGTCGTGAAGGACCAACAGAAGCTAGCCCTTTGCAGCTCTCTTTCATGCCACGACACCATGTCATACACTGACCTCCTCTCCGCTTTCTCCAACCAGTCCCAGGGTCGGCAAATAATGCACGACGTGGAAGTCTCTGGGACGACATTCGTAAAACATGTCCAAGCCACCGAAGTCGGTGTTTCAAGATGGTGACACCAATTGAATTATCGTCTCTGCGCCCGAACACACGATGCCGAACCTCTGCATTACTAACATGGTGTTGCCACTGGATGTCAGCAATCCTTCGGAGACAACGATGATCAAACACAGAGAGACGTCTAACATCCTCAACTCGGAGAGGCCAGGTTTCACAAGCATAGAGCAAAACTGCTCTCACCGCCGCGTTGTAGATCCGACCTTTTACAGCCAGACTAACATCACGAAGGCGCCAAAGATGGCCCAGATTGGCATAAGCCGCTCTGGCTTTCATTACACGTGCATCAATCTCATCACTCACGCAACCACCAGCACTTATATAGCTACCTAGATACACGAACTTCTCAACTACTTCGATCTCCTCACCATCCAGGGTGAGTACAGGATGAGAATCCTGCCAGTCTTGTAGGAGTACTTTGCACTTGGAGAGTGCAAAGCACATGCCGTACCTGCGGACACTGATTGCCAACTGATTAAGTGCTGATTGCATGCCTTGGGCATTATCGCACAGTAAGACAATATCATCCGCATACTCAAGGTCGAGAAGTCGTTCTCCAGGCAACATATCCACACCGCCATTACTTACATCCATCAGAGCTGTTTCCAAGATGTCGTCGATGGCAAAGTTGAAGAGGAATGGTGAGATCGGGCAACCCTGCCTAACCCCACTGCTCGAATGGAACAAGGGAGAAAGGTGGTTGTATGCCCTCACTCTGCCTGAGGTGTTCGTGTACAGGGCCTTTAAGATGTTAATGAACTTCTCAGGCACACCCTTCTTCAATAGACAATCCCAGAGAACAGTCCTGTCCAACGAATCGAAGGCAGCCCTGATATCAAGAAACACTACGATTGTTGGCCTGCGATAAGTATGACGGTGTTCTAACATTTGGCGGAGGGTGAAGATGTGATCAATGCATCCTCGACCAGAACGAAAACCAGCCTGCTCCTCGCGAGTCAATCGTTCTCGGGTTTTAAACAACCTACGAAGAATGATAGAAGCCAATAGTTTGGACGCAATCGAAACTAGACTTATCCCCCGGTAGTTATTGCAGGAACAACGTGAATCCTTTTTAAAGATAGGGACGACTATTGACTCATTCCATGATGTTGGAACACTTTCTTGCCCCCAAACCTTTACAAACAACGCAGTAAGTTCCTTAGCCAGAAAGTCACCACCATCTTTAAAAAGAGCCGGAGGTAAGTCATCTGGGCCAGGTGATTTATAACGTTTCAAGAGTTGGAGTTCCTTGCGGACTTCCGCCTCGTTTGGTGGATCAGTCGTCACCGGCCATGGGGGGCAGGACAAGCTGGTTGATGTTGCCGGAGCAGCAGGCCAGTTGAACTGCCCTTCGAAAAATTTCGCCCATCGTCCAAGACGTCGACAGATGTTAGTGATTGGCATCCCGTCATCCTCGTAGATTGTTTCACTCACACCAGACTTCTTGCTGCCAGTGGCTCGGATGAGTTGGAAGAGCTTCCGGCAGTTACCAGATGCAGCTACCTAATGTTACCTAATGTTAACGAGACTACACTACATAACCATATGTGAGTATTAACGAATACAATGAATTTATTGAAAATACATTTTTTCGAATATAATCTCATGAATTATAGTTCTTAATAATCCTTAAGTTAATTCAATAAAATAAAAATAACGAACCCATTATATACACCCAAATGGCTCATTAGAGCTGCCAGTGTAGAATCATGCGCAAAATAAGCAACAAAACGCCGATGTAGTTGTTCTAATGAGTCCTTGTCACGATCACTTTTTTTTAGCTCTTGGTTAATACGCTCACGAAATAAATCCATCATATGACCAGCCAGCGGACCACCTCGTAATCTTGTCAACTGTGGTTTGGAAAATCGAATGAACTGTTTATAGTCCAATAAGTTAGAGCATTGTTTATAAACATCACTAGTGACCCAACGAGGAAGTGAAGGCAATGAATGATCCACCCATATGGTAACAGGATCACATATACGCCAAGCTGTGTAAAAATTATCTGAAGAACTTCTGTCAATGGGGAAAGTGTATCCTGAGTTAGTTTAATTGAGAGAGTTAAATGAAAGTATTAGCGCAACAACCGTTAAACAATATGAAAAAGAAAAACACTTTTATTCGGCCTATCTTAGTTTTGCATAAGAAAATTATTTGAATGTAAAATCTGGGCATTTGATGCTTAACCGACAAGTCGATTGATAAAGCTTACTTTATTTGGTATGCTACAGGAGTCTTTGGAGTAGGATAGGAAAACTGTGGTCTATATTCCAGTACATAAGCCTCTGAAGACGATTAATGAGTTGCACATAAGTTACCATGTTATTTCACTTCAAAGCAAACTTTGGAAAACCTGTAATGTACAATCAGTAGCACACCACTGTTTACCTTCCAGTAAAATTTTATGTAAGTGGTTTCCACAGAGTAACATAAGCTGGAAATCCAAAGAAAATCAAAGCGTATTATGAAGCTATTTAGTATTGGTTTAAAATTCTTCAGTAGTGTACACCATAGAATCTATACATGAATCAAACCTGGAGCCTTCATGTCCCACAACAGGTCACTGAGTCACTTACTACGGCACTTCCCAACTTAACTATTTTGTGATCAAGGTGCTCGTCACTCAATCTCATCGGGGAGAATCTATTGCAACTTAGTTGACTTTACTGAAGGTAGCTGCTCATTACGGATTTAGAACTTTTATTTAGAAGCAAATCATTAGTGTCTTTTGAGTTATTATTTGATCAAAAGAAATGTGGTGAAAAAAATATTTAAACTATATTTTCACTTCATCAGATATCCGTGAATATTTCTTGCTTTATACATTCAACTGTCATGTGTCATTCAGAACTGAGATTTATCAATTTTGTAAGCTGTCGGCAACGAAACTCTTCGGAAGTCGAAAGTCGACAGCAATTGCACAGATCTACTTTGTTAGTTTTTCTGAACCTCTACAACAATGTTCAAGTTTGTTTATTTATTTCCTAGCTGACCAAGTCTCTACACTGGGATTCTCCTAGCTTCAATGAATTTGTTTTGTGAAAGGCTCAATCAATGAATATTTCATATTACTGGTGATCCATCTACATAACAGCGCACGATTTATGAAGACGGATATAGGTGGTCGAATAGTGCAAGAATAAAATGAATTGCTTCTTTGACAAATTTAAATGTTATGGAGTTTACATTTACCTATAGACTTGAAAGCACAGAATAAGTTGGATCACTCTAACAAGTAAACACTGTAAAGAATCATAGCTTTGACTTTTAATTAACTTACCGGTCGTATGCTCCAGGAGGTCGAAGAAGTTTCTCAATATATTTGCTTTCTGAGATACCACTGATGAGTTCATCAGTTGGTGAAAAAGCCTTTCAAATTTAGGGCATTTGCTAGACATTTTTAACAGGTGATCTTCTTGTGCTAGCCTAGAAAACACAGGAGGGACGTTATTTGTACTCTTCTTTTCCAAGTGGTAAAATCCTCGGATAAAGTTGTTTGCAGACATGAGTGTCCTTTCAGTACCAGAACTACGAAATAATGTTTCGTCCTATTACTTAAGAGTTAACTGAAACACAATATTACTTTGTGATAAACTTCAGGAACGAAATCAGAATACATTTTGCGGATGACCCGACCTAGTTCATGATGTTGTTCTGCACCATAAGCTGTTAGCTGACCATATCCCATTTTCCATAGCTTTCGATATGGATCCGTTGGGAAAGTGTGAACAGGAGACCTATCACCATGTCGACATAGGATAAAAACCATCAATAAATCATTTGTTGAAGGTATATTTTTACGCACATCCACTACCGAACAAGGATTTATCAATGTAGTGAGTATGGCTAAAGACACCGATACGGAGTTTACATTTACAGCGTTCAGTATGTGCGAACCAACAGAAGAGAAGCCCAAACTCATGATATCTTGTAGTCCAGTGAACAGCTATAAAAGCGTTTAAGTAAGAAGATTATTCAAGAAAAGTGAAGTCGCACTAACCACTACTGTTTTGGTTGAAGGAATTTATAAAGCATTTAGTTACCTAAAGGTTAATGTCCAAATGTTTTAAACTTACTGGGTGTCTAATGAAAGCAACTAATGACCTTGAAAAACAAAGGGTCTTACAAATTCCGCTAGGATATTTGTCCGACACTGACACTATTTGAATCAGATAAAGTAGTAAAATATTTTCATATTTATTACCGCTTTACATGCTAATAAACTCATAACTACAATATTTAGCCAAAGCGATCTAGATAAAAGAAGTACAACCGTGTCGGAAAATATTAGTTTCAGTTTCAGTTTGGAAAAGAATAAAGGCCAGGTGACCTTTGTTAATTCTGACACTGGTTGACTCTTAGTTGATGAAACCGTATTTTGAAAGAGTCAACAGATAGAGCTTCAATAATTTGTCGAGATAATGAATCCCATACGTTGATTATTAGATGGGAAAATCGATAGTCAGCTGACAAGTAATTTGTTCTGACCTTGTGAACTCTTTAAGAGCTTCCTCGTAAATTTACTGTTTTGCAAAAGAATAAAAATGAGGACATATCAGATGCGGATTCATCACTAAGTTATTCGGAGACTGTGATCGATTCCCCTCTGGTTCTTCTATATGACAGTGGAATTAAGTTTAGTTTAGCCAGTCGAGCATCTTACAAGATCATTGGTATTCCGGAGATTAGTTTAGTTGAGGTTCTTTGAACCCTTTCCTAACAGTTCACTGTAACTTTATGCGCAGGGACTAGCCAGCTGTATGCAGTACTTGAGTTTAGGACGAACGAATTCTGTGTAGAAAGTCAAAAAGGTTTTAGGATCTACATGGCTAAAAGCTCTACATTCTGAACATAGGGTTCTGAAACCTTTTGTGGTCATCATACGGCAGAGTGCAATAGTTTCTACGTTTAAGCTAAAGATGACCCCTAAGTTGCGTCCGGACAACAGGTAGCTCAACGTTGTTCACTGAGTATGCATCTTTACCTTGGTGACTAATGTTCATCATAATGCACCTGTAAGCATTTATCGACAGTCACCAAATTCTAGACCATTCAGATTATTGTTCCAGGTCATTTTGAACCTTCAAACTGCCGTCACTTTTTGTTGCTCTCCATATCTTGATACCGTCAGCATGTGACAAACTGACGATGATAAGAGACTCAGAAGGTCATTTACATACAAGAGGAACAATACCGGCCTCAAACTGTATCCTGAGGCACTCCGCTAAGCACAGTTTCTCAACTTGATATCTTTGCGTCCATCCGTACTCTTTGTTGACGCCCAACTAAGCAATCCTTTATCCACATTAATAAATTGTCGTTGATCCCGAAATTACCTAACTTATATAATGGCCGTTTGTGAAGATCTTTTTCAAAACTTTGCCGAAGTCATTGTGAGCTACACCTTTAGGTAACCGTTAATTTTCAAGAAACCAACAAACTTCACGGGGTACCAATAGGTTAGTTAGACATGCATTGCCTGTTCCGAAACCTTACTGCTTTTCAGGAGGAATCCAGTTTTCGTTGGGATACTCAGATAACTCCTTCCGAATAATATTTTCTGAACTTTTAACAACCACGCTGGTTAGGTTCATCGGTCGATAGTTCTCTAGGTTGTATTTGATACCTGTCTTTAATACAGGACTTATTGTGGCGTTCTTCCTGTGTTTTGGTAATTTACCTTGGGTTATATATAGACTAAGACATATGTTTAGGGAATACATTTCATCTGTCCCCATGAGTTTTCCCATTTATCATAAAAATGACATCGAGTTTTCTAATGGTCAAAGTGTCTAGTGTATGAATGAGGAATTCTATAAAAATAAGGAGAGGACATCTATACTATATGTACAATGCCAAGGTAATTTAAGAATACTTGACCTTTACTACAATCGTCCGCCACTAATGATGCAATGCTACCGTTTTCCCATAACTTTGGATTACTTCCTCTTCTCGCAGTCTTTTTGGTTTATGTACGAGTAGAAGCGTTTAAGCAATTCTATAGATAACTTAACAATATTTTCTTCGTACAGTCCTTCAGACTTGAGGAGGGTCGGGGCGAAAATATTTCGAACTTACTGCTATTGAGAATTTTGTCTCGTCAGCACCCACTAACTCAAATATCCCTCCACATTCCCCCCCTCTTGCAGAGAGGGATGCGAACCTCTTCACTGTACCACTATGGGAAGCTTCCTGGACCCCTTCGTGTAGTTCAACGTATGTGCGGGTCAGCGGCTTCTTGTACACATTTCTAGTGCATCCCAAGCCGTTTCAACGGAAACTCTAATTCTAATGACCAATCTTCTGAGAATACTGAATGTATAATGCCTTGCATATTTGCTTTCTAGACGTTAGGTCTGGGTCGGGTTGACGGTCCCTCGTTATTGAAAACTATATGTGAAACATAGTTTGGAACTGCACCGTCACTTTTACTTAGGGGTGTCATCTAACATAGGTTTGTGACATCGTCCTCATGATGGGTCAATATGAGAGCTGGTAAAGATAATTCGGAGTCCAGCTCGTACCTAATTGCTGATTTACTATTTAGCACAAGGGCACATATGATAACCACTTCGATTAGTTGGAAATATTTTTCTGACAATTAGGCTTCATATTTTTACAGTCTACCGTAAGTGCACTAAAATCTATCAGAATTAAACATCAAGCACTTGAAGGTCAAGCATTGAAACAGTTAAGCAACACCTCATTCACTCGAGAGTTTTGGCTGCAGTAGACTGAATTAATCAGCAGCTATTGTTCGTTACATTTCAAGCGACAACCAACCAATTTGTACGTTCCACTTTCATGGGATATATTATCGATTTCGGCAAACGAACAGTATTTCCAATGAACAAAGTTATTCCTGTTTTATACTTCCAGATTATTTTGGCTCTTGCTAATTTGAAATTTCCAAAATCAAGCTCCATACTACCAACAGACTGCGTCAGTCAAGTTATTCTGACTGCTATCGGATCCAACTTGGTGGATTCCACCTGTATAAATTCCGCCGAACATTTGTTGAGCAAGCTCCGACCATTTGTGTAACAGATCTGGAAACCATTCAAATGTCCTCTTGCACTACCCAAAGTAACCTGGAGATCATTCACTATCGAGGCTTCATCATCCAAAAATTTACAATATTAAGGTCCACCTTGCCAGCATCTAACATCAGCTTTAGTTCTTTTTCAGCTTTTCGTCTTATACGGTTCGCGAGCGGCAATTCCTTAAAGACAAAACTTCTTGAGGATACGACTGGTATTCTAACTTTACAATTAGCTACCAGTAGCACCTTCTATAATCGAAAACTTCTTGGCCAATGGAAATCAGAAGTCAGACGAGAAGAGGTAGGAAAGATATATTTGATACGTTATCAATATATTGAGGAACGTTTATTCTAAGCTGACTAGTGAACGTAGGAGCAGTGTCCCACGCCGAGTTGAAACGTGATCTGGTACGGATGCATGACCAAAAGCCTTCAGTTAAACAAGTCCATTTAAACAACGTGGTCAGCATCCAATGTCGAACACTTAGAAAGCTAATGATTTTGGGGAATTATTTACAGCTACATTCTAATCTCTTTTATCTATGCCATTCTTGAGTAGTCCATCCCTTTGATTGGGAGAATAAAATACCATTTATTTACCATTTAGTTACCAAGTCTATAAACCTTTAGCAAGGCGATTCCAGAGATATCCAGAGGCATTAGCTGGTTTGATAGCTCTTTCATTAACTTCATCTCATGCTTAAAATGAGTTTCAGGTTCTCAGCTTTCACTCGCTGTTATATCGAATGTTTGTGCTTGCGTGCCCTGTTTAATATGTAGAGTGATGAACCCCACCAATCACAGTGGAGTGAATTATCGATCAGAGCAATGATAAACGAAAACCGTATAAAGTCTTGAGTACTACTCAGTCCTGCTTTCTGCCTAGCCCAGCCATTTAAGTCGAGAACACCAATAACAGCCTCTGCAATATGAATCATTATTCTCAAACATACTGAGTTTATAAACCAAGCAAACTGACCACATCGTACCATAAAATAGAAAATAACATATGTGCAATATTTAGCCAAATGTGGTTGTGAATAGGGGGAACAGTAAGTAATAGACTGAGGATAACTCAAGAATGATAAATCGTGTAATAATAGTCTATAGGTCAAAATAAGGCTTATAAAAAGAGGGACGCGAATATGAGAAATTAGGTTACCTAACAATTATACAATAAGAAACATACATATCATATTGGTCCATAGATAGTTCTTAAAGTTACTATTCATAAATCTCCACGGGATATAACACTCTCCTTGACCGTATGATAAACAACTGACCTATCATTATGATCAGCCTTCAGCTTCCCGGTTACTGTTTCAGAAACTGGCTATCCCTTAGTAGCAGAAGGTCGTTTCTTATTCTTGATCTGTTGTGATTATTTGAAGTATTTGAATTATAGTATGAACCAGTAATCCCAGCAATAGCTCAGTTTAATCAAAAAGCATTAGATGAGCACGAACGAATATACTGTATTTGGAATTCAAAATCAAACAGTCATCAATACAAGGGAATCATTGATCCATTCAAGCACCACATCTTCCGCAGATCAAATTGTAGTGTAATTGTCTGTAATCAGTTGTACATCTTCTTCTTAAGTTCATTCTACGTCTGTCCGACAGTGTATTGAATGTAGATTCTGTGTTATTTAATATTAGAATTAACAACCAAAATCGGAACAGACTCACCTGGGTCCTGGAATAGTATACAACCATCACTTCCGTTGTGAAGTGAAACCACTGATATTTAGAATTTGCATCATGGAATTTCCAACACTATCCTCCTCTAAGAAATAACGTTGGGTCCTTACGTCACAATGTTGTAACCAATACGACGTTCCCAATCTGCATTATCTTCTCAAATCTCACGCTTCGATTACTGTAAGTAAGTATTTGGGGATACACACCGATACATAATTTGAGGTATTCCATCATGTGAATTTGACTTGAATAAAAATTATGATACATATTCTTTTTGATATTCATATTAGAATACACAGATAGATATGCATTGATATATGTAATTAACACATGTGATTCATCTGGGCTTGATTCACCTACGAAACAATCGAATGGAAAACATTCATCCGCCCCATACTCATTAGGATAATTTTGGACTTGATTTGGATTTTCTACCTGTGCGAACTTCATATCTGGGCAAACAGGTTTTCTGGTTGCTTCAGTAAAACTTGCTATTTCCTTTGACTCATCATACCACTGACTAGGGATTTTACTCAACAAACATTGTTCGTGAGAATATCCAACATCTGATACAATATCATAAGAAATGTGACTAGAATTCGACTCATGCGAAACATATTTGTCACATTCATTAGGAATATCATTAGAGATAAATTCATTGTGAGGACCACTGACACTTGATATGATATCGGAATTTGATTTTTCTGAAATATTTTCCTCAAATTTATTAAGTTTCATTAGAGAATAATGGATCATTGGGAAAATCAGCATCTACCAAGACTGAATCTTGTTTTTGATCATGATTTGATTCATTCAATATATTATGCTCAGAGCTGTAAGAAATGTCATTAGAAATTTGTGAATTATTACGACAAACCATATCTGGTACAGTAATATGAGAAATCTGATAAGAAGTTGATTGATTAAGAATTTTTGTCGCACAATGATTCTGGGTTTCATTCAACTCTGGACTGTTATGTGGCGTTATTTCGCTTCTAGAAGTCTTGGATAAAGTGATCATTAGAAATATCCACCTTAGCATTAGTTTCAGCGAAATGAACCATGGTGTTACAAACTGACTGAATGTGTCAAGGTTTACCACATTTAAAGCATTTAGAATTACGAAGTACACATGAATTACATGGGTGAAACTTGCCATAGAACAAGCATTTACCAAACTTCTGCTCATCTTCGAGGACTGTTACACAATTTAATGAGTTTTTATCTGAATAACCTTCATTACGTATTGGACTGGGACGACGTAGTAAAGTGATGGAATTCCTGACGTTCTGACAAGTCATTTCATCGAAATTTTCTCCTTTACCGCATTCAAAATTTGTATACTTTACATGGTCCAGTAGTAGTTGTTTGAGAGTTGCATAAGGGAGTGAAATCGGTTTGTCTGGAAATGTCAAAGTCTTTATTAAACTGTATGCTTCTCCGATGAAATGAGCCACACTCTTAAAATCCTCAATATGTTCCTTGGTCATAGCCCAGATTTCGAACCTCTCCATGTAGTCCTCAAAAATATTAAAATCTAAATGTATATCCAACCGTTCCATCACAGGCTCTATCGCGACGCCAATGTGATAATTCGAAGTATTTGAATTAAAGTATAAACCAGTAATCTCAGCAATAGCTCAGTTTAATCAAAAAGTATTAGATGAGCACGAATGAATATACTGCATTTGGAATTCAAAATCAAAACAGTCATCAATACAAGGGAATCATTGATTCATTGAAACACCACATCTGTACCTATCCATCAACTTTCATTGGAGTAGCGATCACAGTTGCGTTACAAACACTGTGAAATCATTGATGGTTGCCAATGACTTCGGTGGTCAAGTTAATGTCTATTCCGATAGAAACAGATCTAACCTTGCAACTAGTTTTTTAAGCATTTCCTACTCGCTGCCATTTAGGAAACAGAAGACAGATGAAAATTCCTTTCTGGAGCTTTTTATTTCTAACAGACCCCTTCACTGGCCGTCCTCCCTCCGTTAGCCCACGTAAATCAGTCGACTCTGGGCTTGTTTTAGGTAACTCCTCTCCTACCGAACGACCTACATTTCACACATGTCCTTTCTAAGAAAGCCTCTGTACTTTTGTGTATAACTGTGCTTAGGACGTATTTGCGTAGTAAGACTCGTTTTACAGGTAGTAACTGAAGGGTTATTTGACTGTTTATATCTCAACTCTCATGATTGGAATATTTGTAAAAGTGTGTATATGGGTGTCGAGTAGCGATTGACTATGAGCACCACTACAGGAAGATTACGTGCCAGGTAGCGACTTGGATCCCTTGGTAGGCCAAAAGCCAGAAGGCTGTTAATGGTTGCAATAAGATATATTTTTTGGCGATCTCGTGGTATCGAAAGAATACCGAGACGTGCCAAAGTTTACGTGCGGAATTGCCAAGCGTAAGCGAATTCATGCAAGGTCACAGGCAACAGAAAGAAAAGTGTTTTTGGCACAGTTAAACAAACAAGTACAATAAAACAATCACTGATACAATTGGTTATAATAATAAATGTTTCAATTATACAAATCGCGTTCTCGTCAGAAAAGTAGGTCACTACAAGCGATTGTTTATTTAAATACTGAATATATAAACATTCTAGAGAAAACTGAGTAGATGACGGGAACGGAACTTCTAGAAATGAAAGTGAACATTAACTTTATAGTTATGTATGACTTAAAAATAAAATACATCTAACTCCGTCCAGATTAGTAAATAAGTAAAAAAATATGATTAAAACGAATTAAAATAACTATCAAACAAACGTGTCTCAAGAGGATTCATTTAATTCTGTTACGTTTGTTTTTCTTTTTTGTTTTGCTTTTGTAGAATTAATTATTCAGTAAGAATCTAAGAAATAATCGTTCGATAGAGCTAAAGAAAGATACTTCGTTAATAACCATGATCAACATTATAATTAAACCCCGTGTCAATACTGATAATTTTATATGTTAAATATTAAGGAGACAGAACATGTCATATGTTAATATGTATGATAAGTAAACACACAGAACACCACATTTCGAAGCTCATACACTTAAGGGCTTCAATATGGGTATAGTTCTGTGGGTTTTTTCTTTGAGTCAAACGTTACAATCAGATGTATTTTAACATTATTTTTAAAACATAAGGAAATCCAATAAATATATCCACATCTTTGTTTATCTGGGAAGTCTGACTGCTCGCAAGTACTCTACTTTCGATCGGTTTTACATACCACTTGTATCTGTCAACATAAGTAGCATACACCATAAAATAATTGAGTGTAGTGATAACAGAACGAACCTGGGTATGCATGTATTGATTGTTGTATTTTGTTTTTGCTCTATTTATCCTGTAGCATTGTTCACTGTTTTTTACTAATATAATGTATTATTCATCATGTATTGGTCATCAGATAGAATTACCAGTTATCTAAGTCTCTTATTGAGTTCATTTTCCAAACCTCTGGAAAAGAAAAAGAAATATTTATCCACAATTCCTGAATCCAAGATGCCTATTTGGAACTCGTCAGCTATATGTGCTTGGATTTCAGAGTTGGTGTTTACTCCGAGACTTGAACACAATACCATTTCCTACAAACATCATCGCGTTATCTACTTATTTAACGAGTTCAGATAGCAGCTTGTATATGGAATGCAGTGAAGTTTAATTAATTTTTATTGGTTGTTTGAGTCTTCCCGTTGATGGTTAGGATGTGATTGAGAAGTGACTGATCAGTCACAGTGCTGAACATCAATGGGGCAAGTTCAAACAATTAATGCAACTGAACAAAGATTGCAATTTTTACATCTTCAGAATGCTTAAATAAATTGATACTTGGTACCGGAAACCTGTGAGTTCCATGACACGATAGATAAGGATTGATTTGACCCTAGGAAAAAGTCAAAGCGATGTATAAATACACTACTTTTCAAATGATTTATTTACAATCAGATTTGTATAAATTGAACTGAGTTGTATTTAACATCAATTAGTCAGCAACCTTCTCTATGAATGTTTATTTACAGTATCATACATCCAAGCAATTATAACCAACAAACAAATAGTCAACTAATTTATGTTCACTAGTCAACCTAGAAAAAACTTTTGATAGACGAATCTCTGGCATTTTAAAAGAATGAAAATAATTATCAACCTAACTTTTGCGCTCTAGACAAAAGCTCCTGGGTTTGACTGCTGCTGGGAGGGGTCGTGAACGTACATTTCTGAGAAGTCTCATGCTAGGACGAAACGTCCTTCCAGTGTTTGTAAGTTCCCACTGGTGCTCTAGCTTAGGTTGATTCAGGATTGCAATAACATTTTTGTTTAACTGAAAGGTTTACAACCAACCACCTAGTAATCAGCTCAAATTCTAAATAACCTATTTATCTATTCTTTTTCTTTAAATCATCCAGTCTATAGTTGTGTTGGTCTGCTCATTTTCTGCCTAGTTAATTTTGGGATTTACTAGTCGATTCTGACAACATTAACACATAGGATACAGACAAAAATTAAAGAGACCTATTTACGCTTGAATTATTTTTACGCTATAAAAACAAAAACAAATTATTCTTTAAATAAACTGGTTTATTTATTTTCTGAACAAAATTTAAAGTGAAAATCTAAAAAAGAAGAATTAATCTCATAATCCATACGATGCTATTCATGTTTACTCTAACTCAAAAGTTGGGTAAATGCATTAATCAATAAGGTCATTTGGAAGAAACATTGTCCAGGGAAAATTATTCCGTATATTTATTTGTATTTGTTGAGTGGTTTGTAAAAATTTCTGTTTTTTGTTAGCTATTTTAATTTGTGGGTTCCGTCTTGTATTCTGTTATATGAATACTGTAATCCGAAGGAAACTATTATCATGTTTACTAATTACATTTAGTTAGTATTTTATGTGCTATTTATAAATGTTCATTATTATGCTGTAAATTGTTTTTAAATAAATCAAAATGTTAAATATTCTGCTATTGGTTATTCAATTATATAGCTCTAATACACTCAAGCTTCTCGGGAATCCATAGTTTAGAGACCAAAATATTAGTAGAATTTGATGAACTATTTCGACTCCATGGTGGATTATCACGATGCCAACTTAAACTATGTCCAAGAAGAATTTGTTCGGATTGATGATAAAGATCATTTATTGTTGTTGTTTTATCATTAATATGAGAATAATCTTCGAAAATTCTTGTATCATTCCTTTGTTCCATCATCATTTCAAATACTTTATGGGGAAAAAATGTTCAAATGTAAAGTTAAATTATGAATTGATTATCAATAAAATATGAAAGTATATTAATTTACTTATATATCCAAAATCTCATAAGTCCATTATAGTAGGTGTTTATTGTCGGAAACGGTTCATTATTTTAAACAAAACGATAACATTCATAAAAATTCAATTTCGATAAGCAGAATGTTCAACCTAATGTTTATAATTATTTCATCAGAATGGGTTAGTCAGTGAAATCAACATACTAACATAACAATTATTAATATCATATTACTTAGGTAGTAGTTTTTAAAGATTTGTACTGTCTGAAGATGGCGTTTATCAAAAGTTGACATCAGACAAATAGCCAATGAAGACTAAACGGTGTCAGGCATCTACTTTTCCCAGTATACTACTCTCTAGTAGTAGTAGTAGTGAAAAAATTAGCTTGACAGTGAAAGTGAGTGAAAATTTTATTTTATTCTGAAATGACTGGAACCGTAGTCGTAGAATACGGAATCCACATTTCAACTCAAGTATGGTCCTTGGTGTGAACTCTTATGGGACTATGATCTAAGATGAAATATTTGTGTCAGTGGTGGCCGGATTTTAGTGACTTGATGGTTGATAGATTGAAACTATTTGGTAATCAACATAACAAGAAATATTGGTTATAGACTAGAATAGTTTTAATATTGCTTTAATCACTTGTATTTTGCTTATTGTAGTCCGCACACTTGAAACCATTAAAAGAATAATAACTGAATGCTGGATAATTTAAAAATATATCTTATTATTTTCGAATACCCTGCTTTAACAATAATGAGTGTTTACAAGTAAACAAAATCAGGGCTATCATTGTGTACGACTAATATGGTTGATACTTTTAAACACTTATGTTGGTCAGCCCTAGATTATCACTATTAATGCCATATATGGGAATTGATTATGGTTACAGGTTTACATAAATGTGAGAACTATGTTGTATGCACTTTGAAAATTTTTATTTTGGAAACATAATCTCTGTAGAGATATTAGTTATCATTTTGAGGCATTTGGGGCTGCTTGCAGTCGATCAAAGTTAAGTATTTCATTTGCTATTCACCCAAATTTACCTGTGAGGGATCAGAAAAACAAAAATAACCCTTTTTTTTCTGCTTCTACGGATTACCATAGTCATGTTGAAAACAACAAATACATGGATTTCATAGGTTGAACTCGTTTAATTCCAAACAATCTCCGACATATAATTTTAAATTTTCATAACCAACACCAAACTCCTTACTCAGTATTCTCAGTTATTCTAAGCTACGATTCAGTATGCTCCATACATTTCAGACAAATATTTATACTATTACACTTAGTAGTATACATCCATCCTCAAACGTAACGAATTTATAGACCCTTTGAAAGCAAGGTGAATGAAACATTTACCTCATAATAGAAAAATTGTATCCTCAGTAGTAGTTGATCATAATTGCTAACAAGGTCAAACTTATCACCTTTGAGTTTTATACCTATTACCATTTTGATGAAGTTTTGTTCTCTGAGCTGGATGGTTTGGTTGTGGAGCTTTTATCGTCCTTCTGAACGACATCATCAGCACAAACTTCGGGTAGGAGTGAAATGCGCTGATGATGTCGTTCAGAAGGACGATAAAAGCTCCACAACCAAACCATCCAGCTCAGAGAACAAAACTTCATCAAAATTATCCACCTGAGCTACAAATTTTCTCTAACACCTATTACCATATCATCTAATCATTGTTGATAACAAATATTTCATCTATTCCAAATTCCTTCATTATTCTACTTCATTTCTTTTTTAAGCGATTATCATCATAGTAACAATATAAAAGTAATCTTATTCTATTAAATCAATTTAATGGTTTGATCATATAAGAACAATTTAACATCAATAATTATCAATGAACTGTTTTATATCATACAAAGAAACCAAACTGTTAGCTAATTATTTATACTTTATCATGATTTTATGAGATCAGAGAAAAAAAAAGATTAAAAAAAAAAAGAAAATAATAATGATCCATTGTTTGTATATTTTTTTTGTTTTAAATTGAATGAACTCATCATTAGTTTCTGACAGATAACCTGCTGTGTATACACTGATATATGTATATACACTGATAATCTTAATCGTTTATAAATTAAGTAGAGACATAAGGTTAAACTGAAAATGGACAATATATACGACAGTTCATCTAATGAATAAGAGTACTAAATTGACATGAATGAATGAATGAATAAACAAGATCAGAATTAATGAATCCTGTGAAATAATAGAGTAACTTTTTTTTATTATTTTAATGCTCTAATCAAAGTATTATTATTTCATTTTATATGAGAATAATAGTTCATTAGTGTCCTATGCATTATATGACCTTTTATTGAATATGTCTTGAAACTAAGTAAAATAAAAGAGAGAGATATAATAAACAATAGTACTAAGACAATGAAAGGTAAGTCTTAATGAAATAATTACTGAAATCACTAATTGTCTGAAAATTGAAAATAATTGATGTTTTTTATAGATGAAAGCATGAGTCAATTGAAGCTAGACCACCATGAAAAACCTGAAAGGTCTAGACGGCCGTTTCGTCCTATTGTGGGACTTCTCAGCAGTGCGCATCCACGATCTCGCCTCGCGAGATTCGAAACTAGGACCTATCAGTCTAGCTCCAAAGCACTTAACGGATAGACTAGGTTTTCTTTGGTAGTTTAGCTTCAATTGACTCATGCTTTCAACTATGAAAATACTGAAAGCTCCACAAAAACCCTTTCTGATGATGTTTTTATATTTATTAGTTAAAAAACTTACATTTATGTGATAAAATTGTGGATTTATTGTAAACAATTAAAAACTTCACATAATTATAATTATATCAGTCTGTTTTGAAAACTTAGTAAATTTCAATAATTTTGGAAATATCATATTTGTAAACCAAGATAGATGGTGGCCAACAGTAGAATCCAGAACACATGTCTCGTCTTATTTGGGATTCGTCATCTGGATTAAGGCAATATTGAAACAATACGCACAGTATGCATATTTGCCAATAAGAGACTGATCAATTGCAGTCCTAAACATCAATGGGAAGATTCAAGTAAACAATACCAAGTGAATATCATATTTGTACTTAAACAACTTAACTGTTTCACTATTACTTGTATTGACATTCATTATGATTCTCTGAATGAATATGATATTTCAATATTTCAGTAAGTACAAATTCTTATCTATTCCAATGATAAATTTGATGAAATAACTAGGCATAAAGGATTATTTCACTATAAATCTATGAAACAATATGATTTTAACTGATAATCTTTTTATATAGTTGATATCATGAGTCGATTGAAGCTACACTACCATAGAAAACCTAGAAGTACTGGACGGATATTTCGTCCTAATGTGGGACTCCTCAGTAGTGAGCATCTACAATCCCGCCTGATGAGATTCGAACCCAGGACCTATCAGCCTCGCGCACGAGCACTTAACGTCTAGACCACTGAGCCGGCATCCAACGTTGTTAATGTTTAAATTTGACTAATCCACGAAATTGAGCAACTATTCACCAATGTCTTCAGTGAATCGATATCTCCCAACAGACCTGATTGAACTCCACTGGTTACTGCTTCCCACTAGAACTCCAGGAAATATCTCTTGAAGCCAATCACTAGTGAGTATATGAACATTATCAGAAAGGGGTTTTGTGGAGATTTTAGTAATTCTATATAGTTGAGATCATGAGTCAATTGAAGCTAGACCACCATGAAAAACCTAGAAGCACTGGACGGCCGTTTCGTCTTATTGTGAGACTCCTCAGCAATGCACATTCACGATCTCATCTCACGAGATACGAACCCAGGACTCATTATCTCATGATCTTAATTATATAAAATTACTAAAATCTCCACAAAGCCCCCTTCTGATAATGATAATCTTTTTCTTCATTTGATCAACTATGTGAGATTTGGTTGAAACTCCAACATGAAAATTTTTTGGTATGTATTGGGAATATTTCCTTAAAAATAATCTGATGAATAAATTCCATGGAATTATCATCTTGATTGTAAAAATTTTCAATTTGAACTAGTCAATCATTAAAAAAAAAAATGAATAACAGTAAACAATCATTTTATAAGTTCAAAGTATGATGTCTTTACTCTTAGATAATTATCAATATTCTTCTCTATCAATATATAAGAGCATCTCAAATAAAACTTGCTAAAACAACTAACCAACTTCATCTGTTGTTACAACATATTTTTTTCTCACATAAACAAAAGAATATCAAAATGTTTTCGTGATTTCTTTCCCGAAAACTAAATCTACCTTTATTCATAAACTAACCTAATAACTGATCGATCATTTTAAATAAATACGATTACTGAATTATTTACTTCATTATTTGAATATATAAGATTTAATATTAGTTTATAATTACATACAAATATCTTTGTTGTTTGCATGAATATTGGGTAAGGAAATTCAAAATAAGAAAAGAAAACTATATCTTGTATATAATAATAATAATAATAATTCAACTTTTAATCCGGGTTCCAATCAATTATAATTAGTATGTTTTTCTTTTACATTTCAAAGAACTGGACATTTACTAAAGAAATAAAGACATAGTAACCGAAAACAAAAAATAAATGATTGGCACATGGATGAAATGTATATAAAAAAATAGGACAAGTAAGCGGGTTTTCGATAATACATAATAAACAAAATAATTTATTATTTATTAAAGGACTAAAGAAAATCTGATAAGAAACTATGCATAGATAGTAGTTATTTACATTTAACTCTATCATTCTCTTCCCTAGTAAGTAGACCATAAAAAACATGCAAATCAAAATATTAAATGGATAATAGTTATGAATGAGTATATACAAATACCTTACTTTTATTTATGCTTAAATATAATTAATATTTTTTTTAAAAAACGTATAATAATTATTCAACGAGAGGTAATGTTTTGACTTGGAAACACTCTCTAGGTACCCGCATAATGAAATAATTATGATTAATGAGGATTAAATTACTCTAATATGGTAATTATAAAAATCTGTAATATATAATGATAATTATTATGTTTATTAGCATAGCTAAAGTACATTTTTATATTGAGGTAGCAGAAAGATAAATACTGACACTAAGTGAAAAGAAACATTGACAAGAATTTATGCTACTGATACATTCGTAAGAACGTTCAGGTATTTGATTAAAAATGCGACTAACCATTGTTCGAGGTATAATGAAAAACTAATTGAAAAGAAATCTCTTTACTCGATTCGTTTCTTCATTATTAAATGATGTTAGATTTAACAAAGTCTAAATCATTCAGTGAGGTTTGTAAGGCCCTATTAAATGCAATAATTAGAGTTTCTTTCAACTTTTCTGAATTTAATGTGTGACAATTTTAATCGATATACTACTGCATTACTTTACATATGTTATAGTTATCAAGTTAACAGAAAGTTACTCAACACAGTTATTCTTGTTTTCTTTAAAAATGTAAGATTAGCTCTGATTCAGATTAAGGAAACGACAGTAAATCTTAAGAACTGTAATTGAATCTCTCAAAACAACCTAATCTCTCGATCTGATGTGAAATATCTACTCTAATATCTAACTCTCCAATAATCTAGTTTCATTGAGATCATGAAGCGATTGGTGTTAGGCCACCATTAAAACCTGGAAACACTAAGTGGCCATTTCGTCCTAGTATCATCGGACTCCCTAGCAGTATTCATCCACGAGACTCGAACCCATGATCATAAATCATGCGCGCCTACGTCTAACCCCTAGATCACTGGTGTTTATGTCCAACTTCAAACAACCTACAATATTGCGCGACCATCTCACATCGTCTTCGGTGGGTAACTGCCTTACACCTGATACGGCTGAACTCCACTGGTCAACGGTTTCTCGCTCAAAATTTCAGAATCGCCTCTCAAACGTATTGGTCTAATACTGTACGGTTCATTAATTCATTGAAAATCAACAGTCTCCACAACCCTATACTGATAGTAATCAAGGGGTTTTGAATAACTCTGATTGATCTCGACCACGTAAATATAAGTCGAACCAAGGGTGATAACTTCTTTACTTGATATACTAGAACACAGTGCGACACTAACTTGTGATAGTTATAGTTACCAGATAATATTTGCAATTTTTCATTCATTCACTATTTTCTTCTATTATTCCCAGCTTAATCTTAACATGTTTGAGGAATTATCTTAAAAGATTGGTAGTCAAACATTTCAATCTGATCACGTCGTCTACTTTCAAAATGGTGTCCTATATCATTGAAATACTATTCACTTTTGTTTCACTCTACTAAGTAGACTGGGGTGAAAAAATGCACTGCTTTACGGAATCACTTTTACAAACCAGAATAATTTTTAAAAAAATCTCCAATAGGTTTAATAACCAAACCATTAGCTTAAATAACAAAATTACTTACGTTTTTTAGGTAAATTTAAAATAATCTTCCTTTCTCTGTTAATTTTATTTTCATCTTCTAAATTGTAATTTGAATTCAGTTTATTCATTGTAAATGAACAATGAGACTGTAATCGGTCATGTTTAGAGTTGCCGGTATATGTAGATGAAATTTTTGTAAATGATGTAGAATTAAATAAATTCTTTTTATTTAAAACATTATTTTGATCATTTTTTATTCCAACACCTTCATTACAACCAACATCATCATCATCGTCATAATCATTACGATTTGAATTTGTATCGGAATTTGTATTGACATCTTTCCAGCTTATTTCATCTTTTGAATGAGCTTGTATAATTTCTTGTAAGAAATGTATATAACCAATTGCTAATCTAAGTGTATCTACCTTAGATAAACGTTTTTCATAGGGTAATGTTGGTATATGTGATCTTAAACCTGTTTTTTTTAATAAAAAAATGAAAACAAGAAAACATTTTCACGATTTGGACTGAATAGTTGTTGATCATAATTAACCATATACATAGACAGGTTGCCGAATGCTTAGTATATGTGATCGTTCATTTAAAGAAGAGGTTGTTTTAAGCTATACATTTAGTTACACATCTGTTCAAACAAATGATTTTCATATTTTAAGAAATAATCTACCTGCATCTTGTTAGAGTTCATTATGAAAACGTATATTCAACAATGAAAATATCTGATGCCAAATTAATAAAAACGTCATTAACTTCTTGTTAAACTACTTCAAGTATGAAAATCAGTTGCAATTATTGACAACTGTTGTTTTCTATTACCCATGAGAGGTCAACAAATATGTTCCATGGTGTTGTGTTGAAACAGAATCTTAGTAACAAATTGATTAAGAGATAGGCAATAAACATGGTTTAATTAACATCCATCCCGTTGAGTTATCTGTATTATTATTTCACAAATTCATGTTTAATTGATAATACAAAAATGTTTTTCCTTTATAGCAATGATAAGACTTTGAAAATGTCTAATAAAATGGTGATATAAACACAATTAGTCTATTTAAGCTAAAAATGTATATAAACACACATGAATATTTAGTGTTGACACATGGTAGTACAATTAGTTTAATCTGAAGAGGTGGTTTACACTAAGTCACGAAACGTCACAAATACATTTTTTCTACTCATTGGGATATAATAAGAATATATTTATTATTTGCATATTTGTTATAAAGATTTAATAGTTAAAATCATGAGTCGATTGAAGCTAGACCACCATGGAAAACTTAGAAGCACTGTACAGCCATTTCGTGCTAGTGTGCAACTCAGTAGTGCGCGTTCACAATCCCGCCTCGCTAGATTCCAATCCAGGATGTATCAGACTCGAGCTAGAGCCTTTATCCGATAGACCACTGAGCCGGCATCCAACGTCGCGAATGTCTAACTTCAACTAATCCAAGAAATTGAGCGACACATACACCATTGTCTTCAGTGAGTTACTATCTCCCAACAGACCCGGATGAAATCCACTGGTCATTACTTTTCACTAGAATACCAGGAAATACCTCCTGAAACCAGTCACATCCGTACAGTCCTTACAGGTTTTCCATAGTGATCTAGCTTCAATTGACTCATAAACTCAACTATTAAAATTACTATAATATCCACAAAAACCCTTTTATGATATAGAAATTTTAATTGATAATTTTTTTCCCTTCTTAAATTTTATTTCCCCTCCCCCCTTTCATTATAATTGATACATGTAAAATTACCTTTAACTTTCATTTATTCATTTTTCTTATTATTTTTAATCAATGTAACCGAATATTTCACCTCTTTTTTTTTCTAAAATTTTCTAAAAAAAAAAGCATCTGTCATCCTGTTTTTCTTATGATTTAAACAATTTTGCTCTGTCAAAAAAAGGGAATGAAAATGTTACACATTTCATTAAAATATAAGTTATTACTTATTCATGTAACTATGAGTATCAATTCAATAAGATTATAATGTTACTTACCTTCAAATGCTTTATTAATTGATTGCATTCGTCTACGTTCACGCATATTAGCTGCTTGTCTTTGAAATGTATGTAAATTATGATTTTTAAAACGTCTATTTTTTCTTATATTCATAAATTTAATACGATTTGATCTATATAATAATTTAGTATTGGATCTTATGGATGATAATGATCGTGTTCTATGCGTAATATTATTGTTACTATGTAATGAAATACTTGAACAATTTGATAATTCATTATCTAAATCATATATGAATTCATTAGAATTTTCATAATTTACATTATTCATTAAAAAATTGGATTGAATTAAGTTTGTATCCATCGGGAACATAATATTATGATTAGATTTCATATTATGTTGAAGAGTAATCATTTGAGTTGTATTTGACAATCTATCATTATTACCATTATTACTATTATTATTACTATTACTATTACTACTATACTCATTAATATTATTGTTGTTACTATTACTATTACTGTTATTAAATACTGAACCCGACCATGTATTGTAATCAGTCGGTGCACAATGATGATTAAGAGGATAATTTGAAGAATTATGTAACTGTACATTATCTTTGAAATTATTAGATTCATTATTGGATTGTAAATTCAAATTTGTTAAAGGTAATTTAGATATAAATTCATGTGTTTTCAAATTAATAGTAGGTTGATGGATAGATGAAATGAATGATTGATTGGGATTATTTGATGACCATAATTTTGGTGTAAATTGTATTGGTTTTTGAAAATTATGAATAGTTAATTGTTGTGTTTGATTTGTCCAATATTGTTTAATTTCATTAGTGGGATTAGTAGTAGTGATGGAATTCCCATTATAATAGTCATCCATAATAGGTGTAAACCAATGTTGAATGGAATTTCGTAGAATTGAAACTGGTAGAGATTTAGTATCGAATGTCACTGCAAATTGAAATGTATAATGTATTTATTAAGCTATATCATGGTTAATGTTATTGAGTACAGTTAAAAATTAATGGTATTCTATATTGTGATTTTATATTTAATAAGTTTAAATATGAATTATAGGTTGGATTATTCCCCTTTGAGGTATTATTTAAAATCATGGAACAGTGAATGTATGTTTCAATCTAGCATGGGACTTCTGGGCAGGGATCACCAACGGCTCAGCTATAGATCGAATTCAGGACATTCAGTTGCCTGAGAGAATGCTCCACTATTAGAATCACTAGATCAGCCTTAAAAATGAAATTTAAAATTTCATTAGTTCCCGATATAGACCTACGATAGTCTAATTTCACTGATGAAAATTTATTTCACTCTTGACATGATTTCCACACTGAACAATATATGATGAATGATTTTTATCGTACTGTCTAATCACTACTATTTGAATCATTTAAAAAAGATCAAGGATTTTGCTAGGACAATTAGGAGTACTTGTATTGTTCAGTAACTTAATACTGTTATAGATATACATTTCTCAACTGATCACTGTATATTAATTGATATCGCTTTGTCTAATCCTTAAAGTTAATAGAATTCTATCAACACAACGTTGTCACTAAACGAAATTACTGGACTTCTCAATACATATTTTTACTTTAAGCTTTTGAATTCACTTGACAGAAAGCTTTACAATCAGGTTTCATGGTAGTTGGTACTTATCAGCAAAAAATATCTAATTCTCAAGAAGTAAACGTCTAACTGTTGAGCGACAACTATTATATGACTTAATTCACTGGCTATTCACTGTCACCTTTAAACCAAATGACAACTGATGAGGGTGATTTAATCTTGTCGAGATGAATTAAACTTTATTACATATTTTATTTCACGTAAATTTTCAAACTTTCTTATTACCTATATGATATACAAACAGTCGTCGTCTCATCGTAATTAGAATCCATAATGATATATCTATTGTGAAATAGATGACATATGTCATCATTACACATCTAAATCATTTAAATATAAGGGTACCTAATATTACAACATTATTCCAACATCATGCATCTCGTTTTTTCATCAAACAGGGAAAAATAATTACAGATCTTAACATTCCCAAATAATTCCATTCTAAAAAGAACAAACTATTTTCTATATCCATCACTTCGTTTCTTCCACCAAATTAGTTTTAGTCCTGTAAACATTTGACGGCATTGTTCAGTATTCAATGGTACTGAACGTTGAATAACCTTAATATTTAGATGATAACCAGCATTTTTGTTTTCATAATTCACTGAATATTTTGATATGATGACATATCAGTATTAGACAAAAACCTTGGTAGTAGTCATTGTGTTTATCCCTTATTCGATTTTGTTTAAAAACCATCTATTCTATTCTACCCTCCCTTACTTTTTTAGACAAAAAAAAATATGCGTGTCACATTATTAAACGAGATAATTTGTTTCTACTTTTCATAAAACTCATAGTATTCCATGCCATTTTATATAATAGACTTGATCAATATATTTTTTAAAGTTTTTGTTTAATAGTCTATTAACTGTTTTCCTTGTTATGAGATGGGAGAAATGTCAGCTGGGCTTAAAGAAATCTTATGGAAACATTCCACTCCCACTAAAAAGTAAAGAATTTGAACACCACCAACACTCTCATAAATATCATCATCATCATCGTCATCATTATTACTATCATTCTTTTTACATAGACACACATAAACACACATTAATTTCTTCACATTTAAAAAAAACTCTACAACTCTTTAGTATTCTAATGCTACTTCTCATTCTAGAAACATTGTAACATATCCTCCGCCTCTATTAAAAACACAAACAAGTATTTAATCATGTATACACGTACATCATTAATCCTCCTCTAAAAAATTTTGCCTTACGATAGTTTACTAGGCAGATAACTTATCTAACTATCTATTTATCTATCTACCTTGAAGGCAGAAGTACACATAATGTAAATACTGGCCATTCAAGTTTTCTTATGTGTTTTAAATCATACTGTATACAGATATACGTATGTGTATAAATGTTAACAGAGTGAAATATTCTATTCTGTCTCTTTAATGAAAGATAAAATTAGAAAAAGAAAACATCTGTAGTAGTTCACATGTTCTCAAAAGGAATAACAAATAAACCCTACGCTATTCTCATTGTCAAATGCTTGTTTTTCTTTTCTTTATTTAGGTAAAATAAATTGAAGAAAAACTAAAAAACTTTTTAAGACAAACAAATTATACAAATAAATCATTTACTAAATTGATATTATGATAGTAACCAACTTGAAGTGTTTCAGCATCAAACCATATCTTATAGAGAAGAATTAATAACATAATCAATTAGATTTTGAGTTGTGGTGTTTTGGTTTAACTCATTTTCACCAGTCGACAAGGATTACCTAGATGACTGATATTAATAGTCTCCTATGTTAATAAAAAGCTTAATTTGAGTAATAACATGAGAAGTGGTATTTAAAAAGTACACAAATTCTAAAATTATTCCAGTCTGATCGCCAGCTTCTGTCATTTAGATCAACTCTTTTAATGTTTAACTCCCCTAAATTCGAAGTGAGATATGATGAATTACTTGCAAAAAACATCGAAGTCTACTATATATATATATATATATATATATATATATATATATATATATATATATATCCTTCAAAACTCCCCGACATAAACTATATTCCATTCACTATTGATATATAGTGAATGATCAGAAAGGGGGTTTTGTGGAGCTTTTAGTAATTTTATATAGTTGAAATCATGAGTCAATTGAAGCTAGACCACCATGGAAAACCTGAAAGCACTGCTCGCTCATTTCGTCCTGTTGTGGGACTCCTCAGCAGTGCAAATCCACGATCCCCCTCGCGAGATTTCAGCTATATAAAACTACTAAAATCTCCACAAAACCCCCTTCTGATAATGATCATATGCTCACTGGTGACTGGCTCCATGAGGTATTTCCTGGAGTTCTAGTGAGAAGCAGTGACCAGTGGAGTTCAACCAGGTCTATTGGGAGATATCAACTCACTGAAGACATTAGTGAATGGTTGCTCAATTTCTTGGATTAGTTCAAATTAGAAATTATAACCGTTGGATGTTTGGTCAGTGGTCTAGTAGTTAAGCACTCGCGCGCGAGACTGAAAGGTCCTGGGTTTGAATCTCACAACGTGGGACCGTGGATGCGCATTGTTGAGAAGTCCCACAATAGGACAAAACGGCGGTCCCGTGCTTCTAGGTTTTCCACGGTGGTCTAAATTCAATTGATTCATGATTTTAACCATACAAAATATAGTGAATAAGTCGAAAGACGAGGGCAAACAACAATCTAAAGGTATATATTCGACAAATAATGCTGATTACTTACAAACATATGTATCATTCACAAATAAACTGTCTTTATATAAATAGAGTAATCGAATTATCAGGTAATTCAGTGGATAAAATTTTTCTTACCTAATATATGAATAAATCATCATGAAACCGACATAGAGATCAATAAGTGATCATAATCATTAGTATTTGATTTTATAAGGTGATAACTGACCGATTAAATAATCACTGATAGTCTAAATGACAGTTACCTGTATTTATTCTTAGTTAAATCTATCAGGTCTAACTGATGAGCCCCAAATATGACAAATACAGTTCTTGGATTTTACTCCCAACCACTATACTTAAATATTTTGTACATAAAAATATTATTTCTGTTGTAAAGTAGGACTCAGCTTACTGGTTAGTTGTTTTGACATTCGATATTCATTCACTGAAGATGGCTGTTGAGACAACAGTTTAAATTTTAAACACAATCAAGAGTAGGATGTATACTAATCCTATCTAGTTGAGGGGATGATTGAATACAAAAATATTCCCCACAACATTCATTATAACACAGTTTATTAAGTCAAACTGGGAAAAATTGTACATTTAATTGACACATTGTCATACTTATCATTAGATTACTATATATCCAGATGGTAATTCACACAAGTAGAAGAATAAACTTCTGTAAGTCATTATTATTATTAATGTCGTTGATATTAATTGAAATCATTTTGAATTTCATAAAAACAACAGGATAGGACAATAGTTCATACAACCAATCATAAATGAATTTTAGAAATTTCATTTACTTTCAGTCTATTCAGTTAACTGAGATCTTAAAAGTATCCATTTGAGTTAATAAGTACTAAAATACCGATTGTTAGCTGAAATTAGCAATTATATTTTATACAGGTATAGTGAGATGATAAGTAGTTGACGGTTAGTGAATGACTTCATAAGATTGAGAATACAAACTTATAACATTCTTGTGAGGAAGATCTTTAGATCATAAAACCAATAATCATGGTAACAAACTAGCCACTAATTGAGAAAAATCATTCTTATCAGTAAAACAATAGAACTAAGAATTATAAGCAAAGATGGATAGTGGTTAGCAGTGGAAACCAGGACGCACGTTTCGTCCTGCTCGGGACTCGTCAGTCGGATGTACCTGCATATCAGAGTTAATGTTCACTCTGGGACTCGAACCCAATACCTTTCGCCTCAAACGCCATCGCGTTATCCACTCAGCTACTGATTCCTGATAGACACTTGCTTGTGCAATGGGGTGAAGTTTAAATTCACTCAGTATTGTTTGTTCGAATCTCCTCAAAATTACAACTAAGAATTGTTGATTAAATTATAAATATATATTTAAGTACAAATGTGCAAACATTCAGAATTGAGTAATTGATATTTTGAGTCTAAATAGACTTTGATATGTTTGAAGTTACGGATAAAATCATATGTTTCTTCAGAAAACAGCTTTGTATTTGTTTAATGTATTACTTTGTCCATTATTATAAGAAAGTTTTCATATTATCCGAGACCGATTTGCATCTTAGACTAACATCAGATTAGAGACTATGAAAAATGGAATGGCTAATTCGTCTGAATTTTGAACTCATTAAATTTGCACGACCATGACCCGACAATATGAATTCTGGTTATCACTGTACATCCAGACGACTAAGTTGTGAAATCCAATTGTTCAAAAATACAACTTTTATTGTTATTGTATATCACAAATTAATCGAAGTCTTCGTAACCTCACTTAATATTTGAATAACATCATCTTCACGGAGAGATCTCGTAGTACTAGGTTCAATACCACTTAATGTCCCAGATGAACAATATCAAGGGTTCTATAACCAAATGTGGATACCTCTTCAATGTTTATTGACTTTCAGCCTACCTAAAATTGATTTTGGTCTATGATAAAAGTCATTTTCGGATTATATAATTCTTTTCACGAAATATTCCAGTAATTTATCATTTGTCAAGTCAACATTATTAATCTGTTCAAAATTTTTTTCACTTCATTTCTTAAAACTAACAAAAATAATGGGAAAGTAAAGTTTGTATACACTGAACTAGGTCATTCGGATCATTTAATTTGAGGAAGAATAAGTTTATTATTGAAACCTTTTTGAAATTAATTAAGTTTAAGCTAAAGGGAATTACTTCACATAGCATTAATAATATTTCTGATTCTGCTTTCTATACACCTATATACCGAAACAAGCGTTTATATATATACTTGACAGTTGAAATCATGAGTCAATTGAAGCTAGACCACCATCGAAAACCTGGAAACACTGGATGGCCGTTTCGTCCTACTATGGGACTCCTCTGCAGTGCTCATCCACGATCCCACACTCGCGAAATTCGAACTCAGGACCTGCCAGTCTCGAGCCGGAGCCCTTAACCGATAAACCACTGAGCCGGCATCCAACGGTGTTAATCTCTAACTTCAACCAATCCACGATTTTGAGCAACCGTTCACCGTGGATCAGTTGAAGTTAGAGATTAACACCGTTGGATGCCGGCTCAGTGGTTTATCGGTTAAGGGCTCCGGCTCGAGACTGGCAGGTCCTGAGTTCGAATTTCGCGAGTGTGGGATCGTGGATGAGCACTGCAGAGGAGTCCCATAGTAGGACGAAACGGCCATCCAGTGTTTCCAGGTTTTCGATGGTGGTCTAGCTTCAATCGACTCATGATTTCAACTGTGAAAACACTAAATTCTCCACAAAACCCCCTCTGATATATATTTGAACTTCAATTGAATCCATTACTTTATCTATTCCACTAGGTTAATAAAGCTTCTCAAACCTTCTCAAATTCGATGCCCATATTACTGAATAAGATCATAAAGTAGGATATAGCCAATAAAAATTTTGATCTCCTATTAAAAGAGTTTCTATACAAAAATAACATGCTACTGTTTATGCATATATATATATATATATATATATATATATATATATATATCTTTCAGTATGGCACATTATGAGGATGTAGTATATGTCAGATGGTGTTTATGGCATATGAACAAAATTCGAATAACAGTGTTAGACTGTTAATAACGAGGAACTTGAACCCTTAAATAAAAACTGAATAGTTGACAAATTATTCAAAGTATGTGAATGCATAAATATTATTTTGTGATAAAAAGTTTTAATCTAAATTTTTCGAGTAAAGCTCTCCAATAAGTAATAAGATGCTTCTGACAGTTCTTCTTTCAAAAAAGAACCCTAATTATATCGAATTATATAACGAATTGCATGTATGAAAACAATCAGCATTGAACTCAATTTTATTCTTAGGAATATCTTAATCACTAGAATTCTCATGAAAATGTTATATTACTGATTAGGTAGATAATAGCATTATATATAATAAAATAGAACTTAGACTGACGTCTTCATTATTCAGTAACTGTTTTTCATGATACTAATCAATTCACCAAATGATCCATTGTAGAGATCTAATTCAAAGTTAAAGTCTATCAGTTTAGTGTTGTATAAAAAGGTTTACATCTTTTTGATTGATCAGCTATAACTACCGAATGATCATAAATCTTATAAGTCTATAAGTTAAGGTAATTTGGATACACAAAAGACAAAATATGAAACAGTACTCCTTCAAATAAGTGAATTATTATTATTACACTGATAGATTAATGGATTGTTAAACTTAGAAATTACATATTTAAATGCCCCCAAATGCCTTGGTGCGGCCGAAAGTGGGGAAAGTCAGCTCTCCCTTTCGAAATGCTCTCACATGGCCACGTGTATATAGCCCCTGCCAGGGAAGACCTACTCACTGCCTTCTCGTGGCATTACTGTTGCTCACGAAGTTGAGAGGACGAAAAGCGAATGTCCGGAGCTTTAACCGGGTTGGTGGACACTGAAAGCACACCTAGGGAAGTTGGAAAACCCTGATTCCAAACCAATGGTGCACATGTTCTCCAGTATACTGAAGGAACAAATGGCTTATGAATCAATCATTGGTCACTGGCTACCATGGGACTGCATCTCCTTACGATGCTTCACTGCCTTGTGGATTAGACCTTTAGGCCAAAGGCTACGAGTGTGGTCCCCAAAGAAAATCACCTGCTTCGGTTTAGGCACCTGGGCAGTATCATAGCCCTCAGACAAATCAAATGAAATTTGTATGGCGCATATATATCTGGTGCCTTTTTTTACCAATATTTATATGTTTAAATAAATAAATAAACATATTTAAATAAAAATGATAATTTTTTTACTCACTTCAGAAAAGTTACTTTTTCAATAAAATCAAATTTACAAATGCAAGTTTCCTAATTATTCTCCGTCTACATCCTCTGCTCCCATATGAATGTTATATGAATTATTGATAATAAATTTTAACCAATGATAATAAGTATAAAACTACGGAGAGTTAGAAAGTATATGAGAAGAAACTCTATCTACGGAAATATCATACTGAATCTATATTCTTATTGGAACAGAGATAATATTAGGAATGAGAATTGCCATTTTATCTACCCCCTTCATAACTTTTTTTCTTTACTGTTATGAGTAGAGTAAATAAATAGACAGTGTCAATAGCTGAATTACAATTCATTGGTGAAATGTCATTTCGTCGCGTGATCCGATATTTATATATTCAACTTAAAGTAGGATTGATGATCCTCACAATATAGAATTTAAAACTTTTATAAAACAGTTAATTATCAAACATGCCTCATTTTTCAGTATTACTAACAATAAGTAGTGTAAATTGTATTTAAACAACTGACTCTAGATATACGTTGGTTAATTCTATTTCACTAATTCGAATCGAACATTTTACAGATTCTATAAAACAGGTATATCAACCCAAAACTTTCAATGATGTCTTGTCAAAATTGTCGAAATGAACAAAAATGTAGAATTAATGATTTGAAATATTACAATAAATTATAATAAACCTTGCCAGTAATTATTAATCATTATCCTAAACATTTTAGGGCAGTTCATTTACCACTGACTATTATTATCAGAACAATAATGTGAGTTTCATTATTGGCTTAATAAAACAAATTAAAATTGACGTTAACTAAAATATTGGCCGGGTTCACTGAGCTAAACCATTTGTATGTACTAAATATTTGTCGTGAAATGAAATACATAACATTCCATATTGTAGTAGCGTAAAGGAATGAAACGTATTCAAATAAATTTGAGTGATTAACGTCTAGTTATAAATTCCAAATGTTTTCTGTAACTCACTTGTATTTCTCACCAGAATATTTCCATCAACTTGATCAATGAATTAAAATATACCCCACAGTCCTGTTAATTAACACGTTAAAGTTTAACGATCAATTGGTCACTGCAACTTAGTTTCAAAAAATCATAAAAATGTTATTGCTGGGATTTAATTAAGGATACATGATCATCAATTAAAATATAAAAAAGAAAAAACACTTTTTCTAAATTCATTTGTTATTGTTTTCTTGAATCTTCCCATTTATGATTAGGACTGAAATTGATCATCTTGTGAGGATTGCGTCGATATTGTCTTCATTCAGAGGTATTATAAGCAAAGATGGATGGTGACTAGCAGTGGAAACTAGGACGCTCGATTCGTCCCATTTGAGACTAATCAGACGTAAGTAACTGCATCTCAGAGTTAATGTTCACTCCGGGACTCGAACATAGTACTATACTCTTTTCCGTTATAAATGAAGCTGACCACGAAAGCAATAAGGGTCCAGATACAAATTATTGAGAATACTTGTAGTCACCATTTCCCAAAAGCCATAAACAAACAAAAGAGGAGGCGTTAAGCTATTCAACGAAACAATCTACTCCGGAAGCTGAAATAAACTATCGTGACACTATCTTACTTTCTCTTATACTTTAGTCTCTAATTACGTGTTTATTTTAAATGTCATTTTTTAAAATCAGTGAATACGATGATAACCCTTTGATATTGATGATGATCTTTATAACCTACAGTGATAAATTGTATTATAGATGAAAGCATGAGTCAATTGAAGCTAGACCACCATCGAAAACCTGGAAACACTGGACGGCCGTTTCGTCCTATTATGGGACTCCTCAGCAGTGCGCATCCACGAACCCGCTCTCGCGAGCGAGATTCGAACACAGGACCTACCAGTTACGAGCCAGAGCCCTTAACCGATAGACCACTGAGCTGGGTTCGAATCTCGCTCGCGAGAGCGGGTTCGTGGATGCGCACTGCTGAGGAGTCCCATAATAGGACGAAACGGTCGTCCAGTGTTTCCAGGTTTTCCTCGGTGGTCTAGCTTCAATTGACTCATGCTTTCATCTATGAAACATACCAAATCTCCACAAAAACCCCTTCTAATAAATTGTACTAACTAAAACACTTATTTGTCAAGCACTTATAATGCATGGCTGGTAGGATTAACAGTGATAAAACCACAAGTAAATATGTTCAGGCCAAATCCCAAAGTTATCCCTACTTTACGATGGATATCCCTTTAATTCATAGGCGTATTCTTTTCACAAGTGAAAGGACTGCTGAAAATGATGAAAGTGATAACTATTCTTTACACACGGGATTTCATGGTAACGAACAGGTCCAAAATTTATCATCTATACAATAGAAAACTGGAAATGGCTATTTATTAAAATGGTTGTGTTCCTAGCTTTTGCATTCGTGCACTCAAAATAATAAGGTTATCAATACCAAACCAAATTTAACTTTAAAGTTCCTTAAACATGGTTATCTATAAACAGTTTAAAGATCCCATACATCTTCAGAAACACTCGAGCCCATTATTTTATCATCGACTAACATCTTAGTTACTAAATCATCTTTTACTACTGTTATTATTCCTTTTCCGCTAACCTCATCAACATCTGCATGTGGCTGTTATCAGTGATTTGGGCTTACTTCCATACGTCACCAATTGCAAATATTATCATTTCCATTATATCTTATGTCGTTTCACTTCAGCCCAAATAGATTACCCTGTTAGTTTTGAAATTTGACTTTAAATTTTCTGCAGCTTCACATTTAAATGGAAGTCTCAACTAATAGCCCAGTTGACTTCACCAAAACAGATGTTTAAAATATAAGGTACTGTAATTGATATATATAAGCTTAAGAAATCTTTAATTAAATGAAGAATCTATCACGATTAACCTTGTATTTAAAAACGTTTAGGATTATTACATACGATTAATGTTTACTTTTCTTAAATGGATTCTTATTTATAATCAGAAGGGGCTTTGTGGAGATTTCAGTATTGTTCATAGTTGAAATCATGAGTCAATTGGAGCTAGACTACCATGGAAAACCTGGAAGCACTGGACGGCCGTTTCTTCCTGTTATGAGACCCCTCAGCAATGTGCATCCACGATACCGCACTCGCGAGATTCGAACTCAGGACTTACCAGTCTCGCTCCAGAGCACTTGACCGATAGACCACTGAGCTGAGCCGGCATCCAACGGTGTTAATGTCAAACTTCAACCAATCCACGAAGTTTGAGCAACCGTTCACCAATCATAATTACTTTTTAGTATAAGAGGTTCTATTTTCCTATGCATATTCTAGCATAGTTTTCTTGTTTCAACATTAAAATTTTTATTATTGTATACCTAATTACCAGTACGTATATCTCGGATAATTGCATGCTGTTGATTAAGATGGTAGATATTATTGACTTGGTTTAGATAACACTTCTTTGGGAAAGATGTATGAACCTAGAATACATAGTATTACTGAATTTTGCTGAAGCTGTTGTTATGTGACAATTGATTGAATTAACACAGAAGATATGAGAATAAATAGTGATTGATTCATGGATATGCTTACTAGGCGTTTAGTACCTACCAAAAGGATGAAACTTGAAAGATACCTGCGTTAAACTTGCATCTCGTGATACGACAGTGTTATGCTGCACAAGCTGAATGCTAAACAAAATCAGAAAATCTTTCATTCCTCTATTCAGACAATTATTTCGAAGTATACTTCAAAGAAAGACACATTGTATAAGGAAAATCTATAATATTGCTTTTTTGGAAGTTGATATTGACTATTTTATTTGTTGCCTAACAGGATGAGGAGAACGATTTCATAGTGGAAATATGATATCATGACCAGTATCTAAATACTTTTCATCAACCGTTACACCAGCTTTTTAAACTGACAGTAAAGGTTATATGGGCAAATCTTCCAGTAATTGTTTGGTGGTTATGGAGCCACACTTGTTTATTTCATTTACATCACATGATTCTATGCAATATGTTAGTAGGACAAGTTTACATTACTTGTTGATTTCCGCCTAATCTGCAATAGGGTAATTCTCATATCGATAAAGTAAAAATTACTCCGGAATACATCCTTGATAATTGGATTTGATTGTTTACTATTGAATGTTATTTAGATATCGAAGTAAATGATAACAGACTTTTGAAATGTGCGCTTATTTTCAATCAGTTTTCATAATGAAACTATAGTCAACGTTTAGAAGTGTAGGTTTTTAAATTTAGTCAGCTATATACAACCATCGAATAGTAATTAGTGGTTTAAAGTTGAAATATTGTATATCATGAATTACTGAAAGTATAAACTTGGTAAAAGAACTTTTAACCCAATGAATCAATAATAGCTTCCCTTCTCTCTTTGATGTTCTAAGATTTCCAGGGATCAATATCATTGTTTTAAAGAGACCATCCACTGGTTAGCAAAAATCAATAGTTTAATATATTTCTAAATGTCAATATTGGTCTATTTTCTTTTTTACAGAATCTTTTTTGGGAAGAAACTTTCGATATTTTGAATACAAATTTAATCTAGACTTACAAAATGTCAGACGATGAACAGAGGTAAGTAATAAAGAAAACGAAATCTATTGAAAATTTATATTTCCAAATGATGTTTGTGTTTTATTCGTTGAAAAAACGACTTTTTCATTTGTATGTTATCATAAAGGAATCTAACTTTTTCGGGTAGTATAAAGTTTCTTTGCCTAGACTGTTTCATAACTAAGGTTTTGATTTTGCACTGGTTACAAACTTAGTATGTAGCTTCATATGGAATTGAACCTAGTCAATACCATTTATCGTAACTCAAGTTTATACCCAGGACAGAGTTCGATGGAGAATCCTGGTGGGCAACCTATGCTCGTCCACGAGGGGTAAGAGGCGTAATTAATTAAATAAGTTTTTGACTTGGAAAAATATAAGCCTAGTTGTTAGAGATGTTGGTAAGTGAAATTATAGTGAATCCCTTATTTCTAATGATTGAATATGTTACTGATTTGGTAACGACGCAAATCGTTTATATGGAAGACTTTTATAATGTTATGGTGGACGAT